CAGATCGATGAAGTACACTGCTGAGGTCAGGAGAGGTTTGCTGTGCCCTGTGGATCACCTCCCTGGTGGGGGGTCAAACTCTCATTGAAGCTGCTACAATGAGCTTCACTGTGCTGCACTTTGACCCATTGTGCCACCAGAGAGGGCTCTCAAACACATTCTTAATACACTTCAATATTTTTTGTCAAAGGCCATTTGGAGTGAAATGCTCTCACTAATCCTAGTCTTTATATATATATATATCTACATGAGAGATTAGTTGATGAGCACCTTGAAAATTTTTCAAGGAAAGCATTTTGTGAGCTTTTAAACAATTTTCTTACAAAAATAATAGCATCCTGATGACTTAGATGGTTAATGGACTCACTAGCACCAGTAATTCTTCTCACAGGATGTTAGTCATGTTTCATGTAAGTTAACCCCATACAAGAGTTGCACCCCTTACTTTTGCTTTTTGAAGCTCAGGGTAGAATATACCTTCTTCTAATTGTAATAAAGTAAAAATGAAAATCAACAAACAACTATAAACCAGAGACATTCTACTGGAGTGGAGAGAACAGGGTCAAAACTGGGGTGGGAAGAGGGTATGGGAATATGGTGATGGCACAATGGTGAATTGATGGTGGGAAGCCCACAGGGATTACAATCGAGATGAAAAAAATGTACAAAATGAAGAATGATGTTAAAAAGAAGAATAATAATATATCTGCTTCTAATTCCTCTCTTTTATTTATTTCACTCAGCCCTGTCAGCTCCACAGCTATCTCTTCTATGGTAGCCCCATGTCTCACTTTGATCTTTAGGAATCTAAGAGATAGATGTAGGGCAGAAAGTTTGAGTTAAGAATGGGTGTGTGAAGATCATTAAGATTATCTGAGGCCCTCCCTGGTGGCGCAGCGGGTTAAAGCACAGCACTGAGAATCTAAAGCTGCTTCAGCATGAGTTCGATTCCCGCCTGCCCCGGAGGTGACCACATGGTGTGGCAGACCTCTCCTGACCCACCCGCTGCTCCCCTCAGCAGTGTACTTCGTTGATCTGCCTGTTCTGTTCCCCACTCTGTCTCTGGTGAAGCCTCTCACCCTCCGCATCTCTGGCCTGTACCCCAGTTCTGTATGCATAAATAATAATAAAAAAAAAAAATTAAAAAAAAAAAAAAAGATTATCTGAAATGTGGGCCCTCCCTGGTGGCCCAACAAGTTAAAAGTGCGGCACTATGAAGCCATCTGCAGCCACTAATAAACAAGCAACCAACATAATTAAGTGTATATTTCAGGGATCAAGGCCTTAATAGAAATACAAAAATAATGATCCTCCTCAACAGTGAAAATTGAGCTATAGACTTTAGAGGAAATCAAGAATTGAAATTATTTCATACTTTCCATTACTTTTTGAATGAAAATGTCAGTTTTTTTTTGGCAGGACTAACAATGCTTTCACTGCCTTGCCTCCTGTCTTCAGTCTGCTTGAGCTGCTGTAACAAGATACTACAAATTGGGTGGCTTAACGAACAGAAACTTATGTCCTCAGAGGCTAGAATTCAAAGATCAAAGTGTGGTCAGTGTTGATTTCTGGTGAGGTCTTTTCTCCTGGCTTATGGATGGTCACCTTCTCTTTGAGTACTTAAGAGAGTTTCTCTGGTACCTCTTTTCGTAGGACACCTTTCCTCTGGGATTAGGGCTCACCCTTATACCTTACTTACCTTAGTTATTTCCCTCGATAGAATCTCTAAATAGTCCTATGAAGTTGGGGTGGGTAGGCAGTTTAGTCCATAACATCTCCCAACCATTGCATTTCTTGCATATATAACTCCTGGTCCCATCTGCTATAACAACACTGAATTACTCAGGAATTTTTTTTCCTTCATGCTGTTGTTATTTTTGCTAACATCTCCCTGCTTTTCTGCTGGTAAATCTTCAGCTCCTTCTCTTCTGTGGCCTTCTGTACTTAAAAAAAAAAAAAAAAAAAATTACTTATGCATATAAGAACTGGAGTAAAGGCCAGAGGTGCTTGGAGGTAAGGGGGTGGAGAGGACAGGATGCACCAGAGAGTAGAGAACAGGCAGACCAACTCAAATACACTGCTGAGGGGAGAAACAGGACAGACAGGTCTGCTGAGCCATATGGTTCACCTCCCTGGCCAGGGATCCGATTGCTGCATTGGCTGAGCTTTAACTCCTTCAGCCACCAGACAGCATCCCCTATCAACACTTTTAAACTAATGAACCATTCCTTAAAGATCTCCCAGTATCACTGAACTATTTTTCCAGTAGTTATACTCAGTCTATCATTACAGTCACTGCTTTACCCCCCAGACTTCTGAAATAAGGTGTTTTTGCCAGGTTTTTCAGATAAAAACTTACCAGAGGAAATACCTAATTGATGGTTTTATATTGAAGTCCATACCTCAATTTGATTTCCCAAAAACAAAACAAAACAATATGTATGCTGTTTCAAATTAAATGGAATGGAAATAGATGTCTGGGAAACCCAGGACTCCCTAGAGAAGTGGGATGACACATTACTCTATTGCACCAGTTACTCAAATTCTGCTTTTCCCCTGGATTCACAGCTCAGTTGCTAACAGCACCCTGTATGTGTTCCAGTCCGATAGTCACTGCATAGTGCCCAGTTAATAGGAACATTAATCTGCTGAAAAATCTAGGAGTTATACTACCTCCTCACCCCTCACCGATTCCACAAACCATCACTCTTTTTTATGCTCATATTTCATATTAAATTTATGAGAAATACTGTGGCTCTAAACAGCCAGAAACTAGTTACATCTTATTACTTGTTAACCCTGACTTAAGCCACCATAATAGCTCACCCGATTTCAATACTCTTTTGTCTTTCAGTTTCCACTCTTGCTTACCTAATGACCTAGTTTCAATATATTAGCATTATGATACTTTTAAAATGAAGTCAGATTGGTATAATCCTGTTCCAAACCTTTCAGAAGCTCACCATCTTTCTTAAACATTAACAAGTCTTGTAACAGGACTTACAAGAATCTTACCAGATCCTACGCCTTGTAGCTCATCCACAGCCTTCCTCACTTAGACCTGCCGAAATCTGTGTATTTGTTCTGCCAGGAATTCTTTCTCTCTCACTTTACTTCTTCAATCTCAGTGAAACCTACTGTACTTAAATATGCACATCTACACACCTAAACTTTTTATATTCTCCATAGCATTTACTATGTTTTAAGACAAAAACTCCTAATGTGAGGTCCCCAAAATTTTTAGCCTATTTCCAGCTGATGCTCAGGTTGAGAGGATCCAGGGACCGTGATGAGCATTACTACTCTCTTTCCATATTCTCAATCTTTGCAATTTTGGTAGGGCTAATTCACTAAAACTTTAGATCCTGCCAGGCTACCTAAAATATTTATTAAAACTGAGGATGCTAGGTCCCATGCTTAGCATTTCTGATTAGCTAGGGCTAGAACAGTACCTAAAATTTTACCCTTTGAAAATCATCGGCAAAATACAACTTATAACACACTTTTTATTAAGTTTGTCTGTTTTCTATTAGAATATAAATTCTTATGAGGCAGGTTTTTTCCTCCGCTTTCTTATGTTTCTCATGCAAGCACAATACCAGGCACAGAGGAGTGGCTCAAAACACATGTTGAGTGACTAAATTAAAATTGCTTATCCTAATGTTACATCAGAAAATTTCTAAATTTGTTGCATTTGATGAGAAAAAATACAAAATTAAGAAAAATCATTACATGGTTCAATGTCCTCATGCAAGAATTCATTTCAAGCAATAAATATTTAGTCAGCTGAATTTCCTGCTATTTGGTAAATACTAATTTATATTATTTTTACAACAGTAATGTTAGTAAACACTTACGGAATATTACAGTGTCTAATTTGTGTACAGTACCTCATTTGGTTCTAATAAACTTGGAGGTAGCTAGTGTTAGTGGACTTACTTCCATTTCAAAGGTATGGGTTATTACACTTACTCCTGGATTTGATGGTTTCCACATTATTTTACCTCCATCTCCCACACTCCACACAAGCAGTGTGTGAAATAAAAGATGGCATTATCTTTCTACTATTTAGTTAAAAATTTGCTGAATTCTATCTTTGATAACACTGAAGATCATCATAGCTACTTTTCTATTACAACACAATTTTAGAGAATTCTAAAGTATTTTATTGTAACACTGGATTTCTATATGAAAATGCTACAAATGAAGGAAAAGTTGTAAAAGATAAGAAAATGTTTTTCAAGAGGTATGTGTTTTTTGATTTTTCCATGCAATAATTTAGAAGTTTATTCCGTCTGGATATTAATTTTATCAAACCTTATACAATGTCATTACACATAAAGAAAAACTGAAAACACACATGATTATGATTTGATTCATTTTCTTTTAAACAGGATGTTATAATAGGGTTTGGCAAACTTTCTTAAAGGACCAAATAGTACTTATCTTAGATGTGCAGATCATATAATTATGTAGTTGTGGAAAGCAACCACAGGAACAAAAATGGTAAATGGATAGGTATGATTTTGTCTTAATAAAACTTTATTTACACAACACATGGTCATCCTATATCTCAGACTTTGTTGCCCCTATGTCAAGAAAATTCCAATCTTAGTGGAATGAATGCAAGTTAACTAATAGTTTCAGGCCTATTTACCAAATTTTGCTTTCTCTTAAAAAAAAAAAGTGCATATCTCCTTTACTATAGAAACATTCATTCCTATACCTAAAAATAATTAGCTAAAATTGGCAACTATAATATGCAAACCAAAACATACATTTGGTTCTGTGATAAGTTGAAATAAACAGAATCCTTACATTTACTTTTTACACAGCACAAATGCAGGTGACATAATTCCCACAATAAACTTAACAACTGAGAATCTAAATTCTTATAATCTTCTGCATCATTAGTATCTACAAGGCCCTATGGAATCTAGTCCATAGTAGCAGAGAGACACAACTCAAAGCACCAAATTCCAGGCATTACTACGAATGTCTTTTTTTTTTTTTAACGTTCTACTACATGCAGTCTAACTGCTAATAAAGTAAATACCAATTCATCTCAAGTTCCAGTGCATAATAGAAAGCAGATATGAAATCACTCTTAAAAGTGATTCTGTCTCTTTTAAAAGTGATTCTGTCTCTTAGCCTCATATTTCCTGCCATGAAATTAAATGCCATGTAGATGCATTTAATATGAATATAAATTGACTTTGACTATAACTTTCAGATTCATTTAACAGTATAGGAAGTTCAAGCTGGTCTTATAAATCTTAAGGATTAAAAAGAAAACATGACCGCTAAACATTCTTTATTAAAAGTTAAATTGAGAACTTTATACTGAAGTAATATGGCGTGTTTGCCCAAATTACAGATCAGAGTTCCTTAGTATATGTATATTAAGATACAAAGCTTATTCTCAACACATTTTATAGTATTTTCATGTTTTTGAAGGAGGGTTCAATTTGCATTTTTTGTATCTTTTTAACCTCAGCCGCCGATGTACCCAGAGATTATTGGATCCACTAAATGGACAATGAAAACTGGTTGAGACTGCTGCTGAATGCTTCAATAGGAATCTGACACACAGACACAGATTTCATTGTTATGTTCAATGGGACTGAAGTCTTCTTTAAAACTGTGCTCCTGACTGGCTAAAATAGAGTTATGGACTGTTAGTTCTTCAAGCCAAAAATGCATGAATCTGTTGTACAAAGCCTTCATTCTCTGCCTGTAGTCAGTAACTTGAGGGCCTTCTGTAGATTCTGTACAGCAGTGCTTACATCTTCATACTGCAAAGCACTGCCAGCATATTTGCAGTATTTCTGGGCTCTAGCAAAGTCCTCTGGTGTTAGACGGATATCCCCTACAAGATAAAATAATTAAGATATCTATATGAATATAAGAAGTGATCTGTTTAGGTCAGTAAATGCTTACCTTCAAAACGATGACAAATATTTAAGGTTCGAAACAACAATCCTGGTTATAGTTAAATAAATTTTCTTCATGTTACTCAATTTCTTCCTTACTAATGTAAAGCACACCATATGCAGACCCACAACTTACCTGAACAAGATTTTCCTTAGTGAAGTAACAAAGTAGGAGGTTTTATAATTTGGCAAGTTAAGTGCAAAAATATTATATGATGTGTAAAGCAGACACATGTAGCTTTGGTGTTTTATATGTGATTAATATTTGTAGAGCCAAGGTTTCTCAGCTTCTCTTTTCATGGAACAATGCACACAGACTAAATCTCCCAACCCTCATTAGATCTAGAATATAAACATAGTCTTCAATAAAAAATGAATAACAACCTTTATGTAGAAATATTACATAAGTTGTTTAGTTTTTATTCTAAGCATGAAAATATTTTGCATTTTTGTGTCATCCATCTAAAGTAAGATTTTATTATTGTTAAGTTACAAATTCTAACATGTAAACACCACTTACAATTTATTCCCATGAAATTTATTTTCAGCAAATATTTTTATATATGTGATTAATATTTGTAGAGCCCAAATAAAAAAGTTGCATTAAAAAAATTAAAAACATTTCATCTAAGGATGTGACTATATTTGAATATATATATTCCATAAGAAGAAAATAAAAACTGATTTTGTATCTTGTCTTTTAAAAGAAATACCATTTTCTGTAGAAATTTTTATGTGGTCTTAATTAAGGAGAACTGATGTGAACACTGTGCACACAAAATAAAACAAAGAAATAATATACTTCTGTTTAGCTACTACTAATCTGTCACAGATGTAAAGCATTAAATGAAAACTTTGATATTACTTATGTAAGGCTATCAAAGAAAGTAGCAATTCCAGATTATTCTGATTCTGAATTATGATCCCAATTATTATTTTCTAAAATTGTTAACAGTACTGAGACAACGTATCTTCAAATTGCTAGTCCAGTGCCAGGTACTTGGAAGTGTCCAATATTTCAATGAATGAATATAAAAATGCAGGCTATACTTTAAATTATTTCCTCTCTGTTGTGATTAAGACATGACACATGCTCATTTTAAAAGATTTAATAAACCAGTAAAATGTAATAATGTTTTATTAGAGTTTGGTTCAATTTTACTTAGTATTTCTTTTCTTTTAAATAATTTTTATTTTTATTTTTGCACAGAAGAATTGGGACAGGCCAGAGGTACAGGGGTGAGGGGATTCACTAGAAACAGAACAGGCAGATTTACTGAAATACACTGCAGAGGGGAACAGGAGAGAGACGAGAGTCATGTGGGTCAGCTCCTAGCTGGGGATTCAAGAACTCAGACTTCAGTAGTGATAGCGCTGACACTTAGCCCTTAGGCCATCAGGGAGGCCCAGTATTTTAGTATTTCATTTATTAAAGTGAAACTATTATAATGTAATTCCATCAACAAGTTAGGTGTATTTCAGCAAGTGCTTTTTTTTTTTTTTTTTTTAAATATATACCAGATTCTTTAATGATTTTCCAGAACACTTGTGGGAATCTTGCTACCTAGTTATATATATTATCCAGGTGAGTAAGACCATCTTTGAAAAATGAGTTAAACTAACATTGTTTACTGTGCTTTAAATTAGTCTATTTTGGGCGCATCTTTCAATATATAAGGCATCTATCCAAAATTTATCAGTCTGCTGAAAGAAAGCTCAGTGCTTTGAACTAATCTTATTTTTACAGCACCGCTTTGCTGACATGTCACTTATTTACTAATAAGATAAAATGTGTATAGTGGCAAGAACTCTGTTACTATTTTAGTTTTTACAAAAACTAAATTTATCCACCAGGATATGACTCTGTTAAATCACAAATACTTCACTTTTTTCATGATTTCAATAGCCACAAAATGTGAATGAAAATATTTTAACAGAAAACTATAATTCCAGATATGTAAACTATACCTATACCTATCCTATATATATGTAAAATATATATATGTAAACTATATATATATAAATGTAACTAAATAATAAGCAACTTGTAAATTTACATGTTATTTATTTTTAATAATCAAAACAAAAAGAACTTCTATAAGTTATGTCAAATAGCTGCTTTTGCTATTTTCTAACGTATCAGGCTTTTCTTCATTTAAAAACTAATAGTAAAGTTTTAAATTAAATAGAAATAAAACCTGTCCCTTTAATTAAGATTCTTTTACATTAGTTTAAAAGTTAGTTCTAGAGGCCCTCCCTGGTGGCGCAGCGGGTTAAAGCACAGCATTAAGAATCTAAAGCCGCTTCCGCATGAGTTCAATTCCCGCCTGCCCCAGAGGAGACCACATGGCGTGGCAGACCTCTCCTGACTCGTCCGCTGCTCCCCTCAGGAGTGTACTTCGTCGATCTGCCTGTTCTGTTCCCCATTCTGTCTCTGGTGAAGCCTCTCACCGCCCCTGAGCCTCTGGCCTGTACCCCAGTTCTGTATGCACAAAAAATAAAATCTTTAAAAAAAAAAAAAGTTAGTTCTAGAAATTCATCTCAAAAACTATGGTTAATCCGATCCTAATGTACCTCATTATCCCGACTTGAAAGAAATGTACAGGCAGAACTGTTTGGGAACTATCTAAACTGCAGGAAATTTTGGAGGTAAGTAGAAAGCTCAGTATTTAACTCAGATATCCAAGTACTGCAAAGACATATCACTATTAATTAAAGGACAGTATAAATACTTAGAGGCGAAATTTCATTGTTAGACACGGTACTGAATTCTTTTCATATATCCTATTTGATTCTCAAAAAACTACATGAGTTAAGTTGTTATTTATATTCTAATCCAACAGATATACAAGGTACAAAAGTAAATATGGTGTTTCAAATATTTACCTTTCCAATTACATTCTCCTACCCAGAAGATCTACTACTTCATTACAAAAATATTTAATATATAGTAATACTAATACATATACACGGTAAGTACTAAACACTAAGGAGAAAAATGTAGAAAGAAAGGTTAACAGTAAGTATCAAAGTAGACAGTAATGGTTTCTAAAGAAGTAAATCTTACTAAAAAAGATTTCCATGTGAAAAATGCCATATCCTTTTGTAATATGTACACAATATTAAATTACATAGATGAATCATAATTAATATAATCACATTTCCTTTAATAAGCACTATTTTTTTTATAATAGTTTATTTTTACATCATTTTGTACATTTTTTTTCCATCTCAATTGTAAAATAAGTACTATTCTTATATTACTATTTAAGTATCAATTACTTCCTGGTCTATCAGTTGCATTTTAATAACATTTAGTTATATGAATATTTCACTTTTCATCAGTCAAATCAGTTAAGACACAAATAAGACAAGAGAATTGTGACATAGTATTTAATAATTTTTCTAATAATCATTTATTCAACATCATTTAAAAATATTTATTCTTGCCTTTACAAATTTAAAAATATTTAATTGATCTTTTAAAAAAAAGATTTATGTATGCACACAGAACTGGGGTACAGGCCAGGGGTTCAGGGGCTGTGAGAGGATTCACCAGAGACAGAATGGGGAGCAGAACAGGCAGATCTACTACGATAAATTGCTGAGAGGAGCAGCAGGTGGGTCAGGAGAGTTCTGCAGCACCATGTGGATCACCTCCAGGGAGGGGATCAAACTCATGCTAAAGTGCATTTAGCTTCTTAATGCTGTGCTTTAACCTGGTACACCATAAGGGAGGGCCCAGCACATGGTAATCTTAAATTAATTTAGCATATATTTCCATGACTGCTTTGGTTTACATGCTTGTATTACTACATATATCAGAATACAAAAAAAACAGGAAAAAAAAAAAAAGGAAATGCAAAACAAAAAAGGGAATTCCCTGGATTTAGGTTATTTTTGAAATAATCTTGGTTCATTGGAGAGGATAATGAAGACAGACATTTGACATTTAAACAAATGTGTTTCAGGCCTCCCCAGTAGGGTTAAGTCTTAGTACTACCAAGCAATCAGTAGCCACTGAGTGTGAGTTCAATCCCTGGCCAGGAGCTGACCCATATGGTGCAACAGATCTCTGCTGTCTCACCTGCTGCTCCCCTCAGCAGTGTATACTTCGCTGATCTGCCTGTTCTACTCCTTACTCAGAGAACTTCTCTGGTGAAGTTCTCACCTGCTGCACCTCTGGCCTACATCCTGTTCTTGTACGCATAAATAAATTTAAAAGTGTTTCAAATTACCTAAACATTCAAACATATGAAATTTTAAAGGTAAATTATGAAACATCACCTTGAAATAGGAGATATCCTGTATCTCACAAAACAATCAGTTCACTTACCCTGGGAAACTGTACTGAAAAGGGCAGGATCGATTGTTGGAACAGTCTGTGGAGTAGGCTGGATAGCATTACTTGCTACACCTGTAAAGCAGAGAAAACCACAAATGGGTATAGAAGTGATGTACCTCTTAATTATAGAACAGGAAAGTGCTTAAAAAAAAATCAAAGAAGAATTTTTACTTTAATTCTTTTCTTGAAACATTAAGAAATTTTACTTGATATACTTACTTGATATTATACAGGAAAAACTTTTTGAATGCCGGCATAGGTGTTTTGGCTATTCTGTTTCTACCCTGTATTTTGTTTTATCTATTGCTTTAACTGGCTTCTCAACTAAAGTTTAGCAAACAGGGACTCCCTGGTAGCGTAGGGATTAAGTATCATTACCACCACCACCATGGCCTGAGTTCACTTCTGGCCAGGGAGCTGACCTACATATGGTGCAGTGATCTCTCCTGTCTCATCTACTGATCCCCTTAGTAGTGTGTTATAGTAGATATGCTTGTTCTGTCTGTCTCTCTGTCTCTGGTGAATCCTCTTATCCCCTGCACCTCTGGCCTATACCTTAGTTCTTTTATGCATAAATAAAAATATAATTTTTTTAAAAAGTTAAGCAAAAAAAGTAGGAGTAGTGAATTCCCATTTTTCAGTTTCTTAAAAATTAAACAATTGGGTGATATGGTAGGATATAGTTATTACAATTTAATTTGTACATATCAAGTAAGCAATTAGTTTTGACTTCCTGTTAGAATGTGTCATGACTGTCATAATCAGTGAATAACTAGCATTCCTTTTTGTTTTAAAAGATTTATTTATTTATTCATACAAGAACTGGGGTATAGAACAGAGGTATAGGGGGACAGAAATTTCACCAGAAACAGAGTAGAGAGCAAAATAGGCAGGTCTACTGAAAAACACTGCTGAGGGTGAGGCAGGAGAGGTCTGCTGCGCCATGTGGGTCATCTCCCTGGCCGTGAATAGAACTCATGGTGCTGGTGATAGCTGACAGCTCTCTGTCCTTAACTGCTGCACTACCAGGGAGATCCCAAATAACTAGTACCACTCAAAAATAGAACCCTGAGAGGTAACAGCATTTGAAGAAGGCAAAACAAAGTGAGGCTGGGGAAGATGAGACCAGTATCAGTAAAGGTAAGAAAACAAGAGTTGAATAAAAACTTTGGTACAAACATGGAAAATAACACAGATAGGAATGGCTAGGCAAGAATAAAAATAACTTTGAAAGCTACATGGAAGTGGTAAAACTATAAATTTTTAATGGATGTACTAGGTGAGTCGCACATTTAACTAAAAGGCTAAGATTAATCGTCAAATAATCCCATTATTTAACCTATTTAGAGGTACTGCTGAGATCTTACAGACTGAAAAAAAGTCTGTCTCAAGAGTGATTAAACACACACTGTACCACCTATATGGCATTACATGATGGGTGGTAGCGGTTGCACAAGAGGCAAACACGAACAACTGCTGTGCCTACTCTCTTTGTACCCTCTGCTTTTTTGTGAAAGAACTAAAAACTGTATATGAGAACACACTATTCTTTTCAGCTATCTTAAGGATTTCCCTTTGATAAAAGTGTATCCTGGACCTTTATATGAGAGAAAGTAAATCATTCTTAAAGTGAGAAAGAGGGGAAACATCTGCTATGTTTATAAACTAAAAATGTTATTTCATTTTCTATTAAGCAAATATGAACTATGTTTTTTTTTTTTTTACTGTTTTAAATAGGGGGAAGAAAACAAGGCTCCTAAGAGGAGGAGACTAACATCTTAATCAATCTTAAAGGGGAAAAATGGCATGAGAGAGGAGATTTTGATTTGATAGGATATGAGTTCCTTGGAGAAAGGACTATAAAAGGGAGGTGCCAAAAACATGAAATAAGAAAGCCTTGGAATCAAATTACTAGGTACCTTTAAAAGTTTATTTGCTTGGGGTAACTGGTTAATTTCATTTGTGTTTGTAAACTAGAAA